AAATGCTAATAACCATTTTACTTGACAAATGAAGAAAACCGAGGTCCAGAAGGTTAAGTGACTTGTCCCAAATCACACAAACTAATCAGTGGCAAAGCAGTGGCCTAGATCTGGGGTTTTTGGCTTACAGTCTCTGGATGCCCAGCCCAGGCCCTAGGCCCAGGGACAAAGTCCGTCCTGCTGGTTGGGACATACGGCAAGCTGCCATGACCAAAACACTAAGAAGAAAAGGGCTTTGCTTCATCAAGTGCCATGGCTCTCAGAATTCCATGAAAAGTTATGCAAATACATTACTCCAATCTGACATTGAAATGCTTCTGAAAAATTATGTACAGGATCTGGAGGGAAATATATTTTCAAGTGACCAGAGAGATTTTGGGGTACTGCTTACAGTGCAGAGAGTTGGCCTAGGATTTCAATGCTGAATAAGGATCAGATCCACTTAGGAAAGAAATGAATTCACTTGGGAAACATCAAGATTCTCTGGAAAGGAATCAAGGTTGCATGCTTATTTTTAACCACTCACAAGAGGTCTATCTTAGTTCACAACTGGGGGCAGAAGTGGGAGCACCCCACATTTTAAGGAGTCCTCCCAAATCCTAAAGGCCAATTTAATCACAACGTTACACACTGGGTTTTTCATACTTAAATCATTAGATTCAACGGTTCAAATGTAAGGCTCCTTTGATTATTTTAACAAAATATTCAAAACCTCAGAACTGCATCGAGGAGGCAAAAGTTTCTAACAAATGGAACATAATTTTAAATAGCATGTTCAGAAAAGCACATTTTGGATGTATATTTCTTGGGGTTAATTCCCTTGTTTCGAAGAACAAAATTGATACACACTGATTTTTTAAACATTTTTTTTTTACTCAAAAAAACAGGTTTGCATCCATTACATAATAGTGTCATCTCATAGGCATGTACATATTCAAACGATTTAAGTGGTTTATAACAAAACAAATGGGAAGAGTAGGCCAATGGGGGGGGGGGGAAGCGCTCTCTTGGTGATTCCCACTATCTCTGACTTTGTAACTTGATTGAAGAAAGTTTTTCTGGGGATCCATCAAATTCACACATCGGTTACTTGATCAGCTGCTTTTAGGCCAAATGTATGGCTTTACTGATTTTTAAGAACCAAGATTTTCAATAAGGAACTGTAATGGCAATTGCCAGACAACACATGTTAATGTTATGCTGCCTAATGACACTTATTTGAATGTGATTAAATCTGGCCCAGTACTGAGAGATTCCAGACAACTAAAGAGAGTAACTTCATTCATTCAAGTTCCCTCTGTTAAGCTACACATTGACATATATTTGTTCTCTGTCTTGTTAAATAAATACAGAAACCAAATTAGAGGGAGTTCTGCAGATTTCTGAGAATTTAATTATACCCTTAAATCGTAATATCCAATGAGATATATAGTCAGACTTTGTGCTGAGTAATTACCTGAATGAACTTCATTTTACAATGCTTAATTTATTTTGTACCAGGAAAGGCTTTAAACTATTTAAAAGAAATCAGTTTAATTTTGATTTTTTACTTGCTCCAACGTGTTTCAATTCATTAGTGTTTCAACAACAAGGAGGGAACTCTCTTGTTTTGACAAACCAAGCATGAAATTTTCTTATACAAGAGAAAAAGAAAACGATTTCCACATTCAAGTCAAAGCATGCTGAAGAGACAAGTTCTGGGATCCTAGGTAAGCCACTTTTTACCTCAAAAGGAGGGCCACTCAGAAAAATTCTGTGGAAATATTACAGCAGGACCTGCCAAGAAGGAATTCCAGGAAGCTGGGAATGGCGACACCGTGATCCCAGGCCATTCTCTTGAGCTCAGAGGTTTCCTTCCCTTTATGTGCTCTGCCCTCTCCAAGCTCTTTCTGAAATCCAAGGCCACTGATGTTACACACAACAATCCATGCTAAAATCCAAATCTGACCCCAGAAGCAAACAATTAAATGTGAACCCATTCTTGTCCCAAAGATACATCTGGAGACATTTCATTCAGAGAGATGTTACACCCACTATAAAACAAAATATAGAGGGTTTTTATGACTCTTGCCTTTTATAAAATGAAATACAGTTTCCATATTTCGTTAGCATTAAAACGAAGAAAAAAATGGTAGCGCTCACCCCTCCCCCCACCAATGTTTGTTTCTTTGTATTTAACAATTTATATACATATCTGGGTGACAGTTAATCTCCAGTGGCAAAGAAGAGAAAATGTGTAGGAATACCATACTGACTGTTCCCAGATATTTCTTGTTTATAGATGTTAAAAAACTAACACCAATCTATTAAAAGTCATTTGAAAGCACCTGAGGTGGGTTAGAAGTCATGACATTGAGAAAGGAAGTTCAGAGTTACAACATCGATCAAATGAGCAACATTTCCTCCAAGCATCAGAGTCACCGACACTTGAATATAAATTGGATTTAGGGTATTAAGTAAGTGGCTGAAGAACTTGTCCTAAGAATATGAACAGCATTTCGGATTTTCAGATGCTGAATTATGTAGATTATTAAGAGTATCAAAACATTCCCAACAGTAGGGAACCCTTCATTTCCCACCTAATAAGCAATAACAACAACAGAAAAACCTGGCATTCATTTTCGCCTTTGTACTTCCAAATATCCAAAAAATCACATAACCACTGAAGTAACAAGAGATCCAGGGGTGTTTCAGACATGTGGAAGGAAAATGCTTAAAGGCAAAATTCCTCAAACACATGCCATTGTGCAGGAGCTGAAAGCTGTTCCCACGTGAAGTCCTTATTTAAAAATCCCATGTACATGACAGCTGCAAGAAAGCACAGATTTACCTCACAACCAAAGATGCCGTTTCCCTCTTAGATGACTATAATTGTTATATCCCCAATACACCAGAACTCAAAACCCAAGACTTTCTTGAAAGAAAATCATTAAAAGTATTGGCTTTAATTTCCAGGCCTGGCTAACTAATGAAATAACTCTGGTGGCTCCACTTCAAACATCTCCTCCTAGTTCTGGGGCCGGCGGCAGCTATTGTTCCAGTATGGACGTCTTTTTTAGTCTAGACTCTTTTCTAGGAGCTTATTGTTTCTTGGCCTGTCACCTGGGTTATATGTGCCCTCCCTGTTTAAACTGTTCTACAGTTGTTTCTGTTTAAGAAGATTTAATGACACACTGTGGTCCTTTCTGTCTTCAGTGAAGAAAGAGGACACCTGGGATACTCGTCACTCTACCAGAGGGGGCCCATGATGGGCCATGGAAATCAATGCTCCATCACTCTCTCAGAAGGTTCTGGTTCTGTTCAGTCTACCCTACACTGCATGGACACAGTCAGCTCCACTGTGTTCAGTACTCTGTTGGGCTCCGTCTTCGCCAATAGAATCTGACTGGAATCAGCTGGGAGCAGGTGAAAAACTAGGAGGGAAGAGGAAAGGACATGGACGACAGAGGGTCATGTTCCTCGAGGAGGTGGTGAGGCTTGGACCACAGGAGGGGGATAGGTTTTTAGGCAAGGTTTGGAAATCTACATAATAGACCTACATCCATGGCCAGGTTTGGTGACCAAGACTGAATTTCATCACCCAAAATGGTGCCATGAATTATGGTTGGCTCCTAATGAGTCTTACCCTACAAGTGGGAAAAGGAGACATGAGGGAGGCAGGATAGAATGAAGTGAGAAAAATCAGTCACCAGTCTCCAGCGTGAATCTACAGTGCATCTGTTTCCATATTTTTTTACTTTGTTGGGCTTTTTCTGGGTTATTTTTCTGCTAACTCCAAAACTTTTAGGGACATACTTTGATTTTCCTTATTACTAAAGGAGGTGCTACTTCAACGGACCACCCACTGTTGAGCAGAAAAAAAGATATAGTTGATGGGTGGCCTTTGAATATGGTTTCTCTCCTATTTTAGGATGAGATTAAGTTAAGGAAATCTTTGGTAAGTGTTCATCCAAGTAAGTCATTGCTATGATTCACCACATGACAACTTAGCAAGTCCAAAAGAGACATTAGCGGGTGATACTACAAATGGAGGGCTCCTGTCTTGAAATTTTAACTGCCTGTGAAGTCTTCCAAATGGGAAACTGAAAACTCTGGCCACTGCATTCCCCTTGGGATCTGGTCCATCCTGAACCCAACCAAAATCTTGGGGGGCGGGGGGGGCAAGGCAAGGACAGGCACAAGCCTGAGCTACAAACAAGAGCAAGCTTCTCTTATGTCTTCCTATAATGCTGGGTCCCATTATCTGCAAACTTCCAGAAATTCTTGGGGTAATAGCTCTCCTGGATGATGTGGCTGCCATGCTGTAGAACCTGGGAAGAGAGGAACTCACATGCTGAATCCCAGGTGTTTCAGAAGTCTGAGGGAGCACGAAGGTGTATATGTCCACACACAGCCCCCAGCTGATGAACATGGTAGCCAGGCTGGAGGAAGTAAACACCAGAGAGTCTCCAGTTAGTCCAGTGGTTCTCAAACTTGAGCCTGCATCAGAATCATCCTGAGTTTCTCATCCAGTAGGTCTAGGATGGGGCCTGAGAATCTGCTTTTCTAACAAGATTCCAGACAATGACATTGGTCCTGGGACCACAGGATGAGAACCACTAGCCTGTTCCTTTGCTGCTCTCCTACTCAGGGGAGCAACTGTATCCACCCCCCCGGAGAAGTGAACAGCAGTGCCATGGCCCCATTTTTACACAGCCCAGTGCATGGACTGTACAGTGAAATTTCAAGGAAGCACACGATTGGTTTCTTCATGCAGTCCTTCTACAAACGGGTGTCATCACTGACAGCATAAATCCTCTTTTTCACCAAGATAATTTTCTGATGTCAGTTATAAAGCATGACAAGAAAATAGCAATGTTGTTAGAATAAGCAACAGCTTCCTAGAGGAGACTGCTTTGAAAGTTAACCCTATTACAGACACATACTTTCTATTTAAAATAATAGTTCTAATTTCTTAAAAAAAAAAAAAAATTACACTGTCTATACACACCACTGTCCTTTCCCAGGGCTGGCCATTACAACCTCACCTATGACTTCACAATCCTCTTTCGTGTTAGTGACCTCTTTAGTATTTTTTTCTTTTTTTGGCCGGGCTGCCCTGAATGTCTGCAGTCCACATCTAAGTGAGGGGATATACGCATTGGAGGCAATCTTTCAGTGTTGTGGTTATTTTTCATAAGATGTCTGGAGGAGAGATTTTCCAAAACATGCAACTCTTCATTAGACGTGGCTTTTGCCAAATCTTGTTTCAAAAGTAACCCCGGATCTGATAACTCTAACGTGGGCAAAACCCTGGCAGCCTTGCTTTTTGCTTTTTTCCACTATTATTTCTCTTGGGACTAACCGATCACTTCCAAGAGAAACTCTCTTGTGATGGTCGAAGTCTTCTGCAGAGCTGCGGTTCCTGTGTCTCTGCTGGGCTGTGGCCACTCGTGGACTTTGTTTTGGACCTGGTTATGCTGACTCACAGCGACCGACAGGGCTCCCGCTTAGAAGCTCTGTCTTTAACCGCTCCCCACGATGAGGTTTTTGCTGGCTGCTAGTGTCATGGCTGGGTCTGATGAGCACTTTCCAGCTTTTGAACAGGAAGCCCCCAGTGGCTCCCAGCGGCCTTTATGTAATCCTTTGCCGGTCCCATGGATTCCAACAGGGGACTGGATGAAGCTTGGCCACGACCCCTCCTCCTTGCTCTCTCTGCAATCTCTGAATCACTAGATATTCCCACAATGTCCCTGATGGTCTGTGATTAGCTCATGATGCTGCTTTTTGTTACAGCTCTTTTCAAGCTAAACAAAAAAAAAGGATTTTATATTTTATAAAGCTGTAATGGCATGGTTTCCTCCAAATTCCCCTTAACACATTTCCTACGCCTGGAAAAAGAGACCCCTGCCCTGCACATCTGGAAAAAAACCCTAGCATATGTTTAAATGCAGACAGGACCAAGCAATAGTCTTCACACTTTCCAATCACTAGAATACACTTTGTTTATCGATCACTGGGTTATCAATGGAGTTATGATGGAGCTCGCATTTTAACTAAGGCAGGTAAACATTCATTTCAGACATTAAGGTTCAATATTGCCTACGTTTGGTATATTGATTTTTTTTTTTCCAGGAGTATATGCTCTAATCCATCCAAAGCATAGGCTGTGTCTGCACGCACACACACAAACACACACATACAATTTCCATTTGTATGTAAAGAATAATCTTCAGGAATTCCTTTCAGGCCATTTCAAGGTATTACTCAACTGTAATTACCATTTAGCTGGTGTCAGGCTTATTCATCAACCATCTGGGAGTAGGACTCAGTTAATATAACCTGAAATGTCTTGAAAGAAATTCCAGGCAGAATGAAAGGAAATAAAGCACATCGTGGGAAATGCAAGAGAGTGTCGATATACACATATATGAACACCTTGCTACAGCACATGCAACAGACAGCGCAGACTCCCTTTAATTGTAAAACTAACTTTGGGGGCAGCAGGGAACCTGCACATGAAGAATTCAGAGACTAAAGATGATGACCTCAGTATATATTTACAGGCTTGTGAATGGCAAGACATTTCCGAAACCACCAAACTCAAAACACTGAAGCTGAAATATTTATTTTGGCTAAGCCTTTGTCTGGAAACAAATATATATTCATGCTCTTACTGCTGCTATCAGGGGCATGAGGATTATCATAATTACATTAGGGTCGGAACAGGCATCTTTGGAGAGTATTTTTTCTGATCTGTCTGTAGTCACTCTGAAAAGTGTATGAAAAACACCAACAGGTGCTTTTCATCTTCAAAGAGCTTGTAATGAATTACCCCTCGCAACACACCTGTGAAGTCAGGCCTCGCTCCCCACTGTACAGAAAGCGAGAGAAACAGTAAAGGAGATGAGGAAGAAAAGCATGCGACTTAGGGGAGGGTCAGTGCCAGGGAAGCCTCGTTTACTTCTAGACTTTATGCTATCTACCCATACAGACAGTCAAAAACGAGGAAGAGGAAACACGCTGGATCTACATTTCTTGAGAGCATTTCTCCTGAGCTTCGCACTGGGAGGAAGTGGACTGTGCATACTCAGCAAAATAATCAGACACTCTGAGGAGAGGCCTTTCTGTCTACTTCGAAAGATAACAAAGGCTCAACCAGAAATCTATTAGCTGAACATGAGAAAAAACAGTTATACTCTGAATGCCCCAATGAACAGATTTATTTTTGTGAAGACTAAATGAAACTGTGTCACATTAGGCTGTTTTATTTTTTTCTAGCTGGGAATTTTGGGTAAATTGTCGATTCTTTTGGGCTCCCAGCCCCCACATTTCATACATTAATATGTACCACAAGCAAACAAGGCTGTAATGTAAAGGATGTTGATTCCAAACCATCTGGGAACTCTTGGCCAATATCTGACATCTCTGTGGCTGAAACAGTGAAGAGTCCAGAAGCACTGTGCCTGACAGCAGCGGGTCTGTAAGCTTCTTTTTTCTTTCCCCAGAGAGACTTGGTGGCGCAGTGATCTATACCCTTATTATCCTAAGAATCCCCCAAATCTTCTGTTTACAAAAACACACAATATGGCCTTTGCACTACTTACGACTATGTCAAGAGTTTGAATATTTTAAATTAAACCTTTTAATATTGGTATTTTGAAAACTGGACTTTGTGATTCTTGGCGACTACAGAGCTGAAGACTTGTTCTTAAACTAACAGCACTAGGATGGTTTTAGATAATTCATAGATTATCTAGCTATCTACCCTCACATGTTCCCATGGACGCTTTGTAAGGAAGCAATTATAAAACGTAAAAACCTCTCAACCCTTTGCCAACATTGGCCCATTCCATACTTTTGGAATCCAAGTAGATCACCCGATCAGCTGTTAATTTCCCTCATTTTTTGAGGCACTAATTAAGCTCCCTTCCCCATCAGATTCCAATATAATCTTGCTGTCATAAAGAACAGTTTTAGTAAATTATCAGTAGGTCTTCCACATAGTTACATTGGAATTAACAATGACTGCCCCAGGTGCCTGGTAGAGGGCAGCCATTAGCCTGGGTATCCCAGAGGCCGATGTTATGAGCTTAGCCCAATTACTGCCCTACATCACTGAGCACAGGCCTGTAGCTCTCTCTAACTGTGCCTAGGGTTTCAGACTCAGATCAACGTCACTCAAAATCATATCCACTTAGGGCCCAAGCCAGTTTTATGAATTAGCGAATTGAATATTTTAGGTTTTATTGGATTATATTGCATTTTGATGCTTCTCACTTTGTTTTGTTTTCTAAGAGTTACTAGTTGACCAAAAAAGAGCTACAGCTTAAAAATTTAATGAGAGAGAGATTGAGATTTATGTGTGAAACACTTCTAAACATGCCCTATAAGTACAGTAGACTTTCCCCTTACAACCACACCCTGTAAGTGCTGTATTTTCAGAGCTGAACAATTAACATAAAAAGCATGAGTCAGGCTTTGAACAACTCTGTGGGAACCAGAAAGCCTTTTGCTATTAGGAATGATGTAAATTCCCCAAGGCTGGAAGAAGTCCACAATGGAAGGCAGACAGGGTCATAAATAACAACAATGGATACTGCGCACACCACATAAAGTCTGATGCCGCGATGGTGACACTCTCCTCAAATCTCATGTTGCATTCAGTCACTGCCTTCATTTATTTATTTATTTTAGAATTCAGTTTAAAGCGAAGTATGTATTTCCTATGGGAACTTCAAAAATTTCTTTAAGAAACAGGGCAATCGTCTCTCATCCCAAAGTCCTCTGACAACAAAACAATGGCAGAAAATGTCCTTGGATGAAAAAAAAAGGACAACAGACAAAAGTGACAGTGTGACAGAAGGAAATGTCCAGTTCAGAAAGTGCAAAACCTGTGACTTTGTCTTCACAAAAAAGAAAAAAGAAAAAGAAAGAAAAAAGCAAGATGGGTCTCCTGCTTTCAAATTAAAACCACATTTCGCAATTTGTTGAAGGAGGCGTATTTACATTTGTATGAAGACTGGGTGGGCAGGAAAAAAAAGATTAGACTCCTTCTTTAGCCCTTGAACTGTCAGGTCTCATTAGAAATCCCTTCTTCTTACATTTCTAGGGTCAATTCACTCCCCTTTGTCACTAAATCTCAGCCTGGCTGGGGTGCGGGTGGAACCTAAGGAAGAAGCTATCACCTGGGAACAGGGCTCCTGAAGGGAGTAGTCCTGATTACTAATGGCTTTTCACATCTGGCATCAAAATGGCAACCTCAGGCTTACCAGAGGCAAAACTCAGAGGTGCAGACTGTGTGGCGAGAAGTCGGCAAGTGCTTCCAGGCTTACATGGGCAACACTTTTTAGATTCTTCCGTGAATACTGACCCCAACATCTTCTGCAAAAAATATGGGCAAACTCAACATAGACAAAGAAGCTACCAGTTGGCCTCTGAAGTTCAGAGTGGGCACCCCTTGGGGTCTCAGGTATTTAAGAAATATGCAGACCAGGAGGATCTCTTTGGGCCTTCATTAATGATGCTTCACAACTTGGAAGCTTACTCTGAGTCCCCCACCCCGCAAAAAACCCACTGCTGCCCAGTCAATTCTGACTCATACTGACTCTATAGGACAGAGCTGAACTGCCCCACAAGGGTTTCCAAGAAGCGGCTGGTGGATTCGAACTGCCAATATTTTGGTTAGCAGCTGAGCTCTTAACCACTGCGCCACCCCAGGCCAAGGAATAAAATTCTGCACGTGACATTCCCTGGTACAGTTCACACACAACACTCCTCCCACAGCCCATTTACTTATTTTTGGTAATCCTTTGAGGATTTTCGTTTTAAAACTTTCCATCTGTAAAGAATGTCAATATACACTTCCAAGGCAAAACCAAACAGAAGCAGGGCAAGGTTACTGTGCAATCTAGGGAGATGTTCTCCTCGGTCACTTGAGCAGCCCAGGCAGGTTCCCAGGCTCAGGACTTTATCTCCACCTCTGGGGATGCTCTCAGTACCCATGAATGCACCTCACGGTTGAGGACGAAGCACATGTGCCCCAGGCCATGACCACGGGGACAGTAGAGCAGGTGAGTATTTAGTGTTTGAACATGGTGGTGAGTGACATTACTCCAGTGCTGTCTGGCTGGACCTGGGAAACTCAGTTTAGATTCCCGGACAGAAAGGACTGCCAAGAGCGTCTCCACCAGAATAAGCTGGGTAACAAGGACATGCGTCTTGCCTCTAATCAGAGAATGGAATGGTTTGAAAAGGTAGTTCAAGTCACAAAGGCAGTTTGAATTGTGTATAAACCAAGGAATTCACCCCACAATGGCTTACTGAACACCACTGTTGAACAGAACACTGTTGGACTAACGGGGTGGGGGGTGGGTTGGGTTGGGTTGGGGTGAGAAGGCCAAAAAGTATATAGAAAATTCCTGTGCTTGAATCTGTCACCTCCTCAGAGAGTCTGTAAAACACACCCGGGGCTCCCAAAGGAGCATCAGAGACACCAACGGAGCTTTTCAAAAAACATATATTCCCAGGACCCACTCCTGGAAGTTCTGATTCATGAGGCCTGGGGTGGGGCTAGAAGATGTACATTTAGGTTCCCAGGTGATCCAAGCATGGTTGATACACTACATAAAAGAACACCTGACAAAGCAGCATAGTAGATTAACAACTGCAAAATGGTACACTCAGACAGCTCTTTGCAAAGTGTGGTCTGGTTATGCCAGGCATCAAAATCCCCTGGTTGTTGTTAGGTGCTGTCGAGTCAGTTCCGACTCATATCGACCCCATGTACAACAGAACAAAACACTGCCCGGTCCTGCGGTGTCCTCACAGTTGTTATGCTTAAGCCCACTGTTGTAGCCACTGTGTCAATCCATCTCGCTGAGGGTCTTCCTCTTTTTTGCTGACCCTCTAGTTTACCAAGAAAATCACCTGGGGAGCTTATTAAAATATTCTGGATTCTACTGCATTTGGATCTCTAGGGGTGGGGTCGGGGCATGTGAGCTGTAGGCTAGCTTCCCAGTGATTCTGATATCTAGCAGAATTAATAGACTTCTGTCCTAAGGGGGCATGAACTGATCACAGAGCAGAGTCAGGTAAAATCATCCATTCAGGCAACACTGAATGAACTCTGTATCAGGCATTGTTTGAGGCCCTTGGAGAAAAGGCTGTGGACCCACAGACAAAGTCCTTGCTCTCATGGAGCCTCCACCTCACTAGGGAAGACAAAAACCAAGTAAACAATAAACATATGTCAGGTGGTGATGATGTCATCAGGGGAAATGAACATCTTAGAATCTTAGGGATGCTATTTTGGATATGATGGTCAGAGAAGGCTGTGGTAGCTAACGCAGAGAGCTTTAGACCGACCTGAGAGAAGCTGGGAGTCACGTGAGCATCTGAAGAAGAGCATTCCAGGCAGGTGGAAGCGCACACACGGAGGTCCTGAGGACAGCACATGACAGCAGGGTGCGGGACAGGAAAGTAAACCAGGGGAAGGGGACAGGGAGCAGGTGAGAGGTGTGTGTGTGGGGTGGGTGGGGGGCAAATAATGTCTGGCTTTTATAAGGGTGGCACATTTTATTCTGAGGAAGATAACATGCCATTGGAAGGTTCCAAGAAGCGTGACTTAACATTTTAAAAGGATCACTCTGGGTGTTGTTGAGAGTCCAGGGTGGGAGCAGGAGGACCAGTGATGAGGTCCACTCAGCGATGGTGGGTCTTGGAGGAGGCAGGTGGTGATGTGAAGTGGTTGGACTGGAAATTCAGTTTGAAGGGAGACCCAACAGTATGTGCTGATGGATTGGATATAGGAGGTAAGAGGAAGAGAAAAGTCAAGGGTGACTCCAAGATTTGTGGTTTAAGTAGATGAAGGAGGTTGCCATTTACCAATGCAAAAAAAACTGGGGGAGGGGCAGGTCTGGGGAAGTAGGATCAAGAAATCAGTGTGAGATCTGTAAACTTTAGGAGCCTTATTGGATGTCTAAATGGAGCTGCTGAGTAGGCAGTTAGATATCCAGGTTCTGGGAAGAGAGAGATCTGCGCTTCAGGCACAAAGCTGGTAAGTCCTCAGCATGGAGATGGTGCTGAAAGCTATTAGTCAGGCTGAGCTCCACAAAAAAGTGAATTTGGAT